GTGGCAAAAATGATGAGTTGCTTGTCAGTGTCCATTCTGGTAGTTTTCTTCATTACTAGTGGAACTTATATGGTTGTCGTCTTCAATGTATCTAGCTAAAACAAAGCAAAAAACAAACAAAAGACTACCTTTTCTAGTATCTCCTGAAGAGAAATATGGCAAATGGAGTGGGTATTGAAAAATGAGTTCTTTTCTATTTCTTGTGCCTGAATTGTGGAAAATGTCTGGAACCACAGAATTACAACCATGGGTAAAACGTGGTGACTTAATTCATCTCTAAGGATGTCAGAATAAAAATATATAAGGATCCTGGGTCCCTGATAACATGGTGAAGGTACCATCCCCTGTTTCCAAAGTGTCAGTGCTCCTTCCAAATCTCCTAGGCACTCACCAGTCCTGCTGAAGACTTTAGCTTCAAGCATCTGTACTCTGTCTAAAGGATTTCTCGGGCCATGGGAGCATGGTGGGGGACTGTCGGGTTGCTAATGCCCCTGGAATCAGTTATCAACCAACTTATCAACCAATGGATTAACAGCTGTTCTTCCCCAGCCCTCAGATGGAACATCTCCAAGGTATATTCTATACCCTTTCCCAGATGTCATGTGTAGGTTTAAGCCTCAGTTGCTCAGAGCACTAATTTTCTCACTAATATCACTACTGATTCTCTCCCATTTCCTGTCTTAATGTACCACTCTCTAAACAGTGTTTCCTGGCATCACCAAATGAATAGGCTACTTGCTCTCAAATCCTTGTCTCATACCTGCCTATGAGGTAACCAAATGTAAGGCCATCCCTGGATTGTCTATCTTGGAACTTCTTTTGAATAAAGAAACATAAGTCTCTTTAATTAAATCACAATTATTTGAATATTCTCTTATGTGCTGCTAAACCTCATCCAATCCAATTAGCAATGTAATAATTTCGTTTTTTTGTTTTCTTTTTTGAGATGGAGTCTCGCTATGTCACCCAGGCTGGAGGGCAGTGGCTGGATCTCAGCTCACTGCAAGCTGCGCCTCCCGGGTTCACTCCATTCTCCTGCCTCAGCCTCCCGAGTAGCTGGGACTACAGACGCCTGCCACCTCGCCCGGCTAGTTTTTTGTATTTTTAGTAGAGATGGGGTTTCACCGTGTTAGTCAGGATGGTCTTGATCTCCTGACTTCATGATCCGCCCGTCTCGGCCTCCCAAAGTGCTGGGATTACAGGCTTGAGCCACTGCGCCTGGCCAATAATTTCTTAAGCTTAAATCACTTTATTATTACTAGACCTTTTTCCAATGAAGAACAGCTATTAAAAACAAAAAAACCAGAAGAAGAATTTAAAAGCCTTTTTATTTAATAAAGTCTGATGCCTACTAAAATATTGAAAATTATATTCTAAATGTTTACTTTTAGCAAATACAATTTCAACAAGTAAATGGCTTCTACATTGCCAACTAGTAAATTTCAGTTTTTACTTGATTCATCCATAGCTTTTGATAGAGTTGGTCCTTTCCTTCTTTCTGAAAAATGTTTCTCTAATTGGTCTGTAGGCAACCACCCTCTCTTGGCTTTCCTTCTGCCTCATTGGCTGCTGCTTTCCAGTCTCCCTTGCTGGTTTCCCCTCATCTCAAGCTGGTATTCCCAGGCTCAATCCTTGGCCAGTCTCTCCTCTTTATCAAAAAGCATGCTCCACATAATATCATTCGATCCCATAATTTAAAATAGTATCCCTAGGTTGATGGATCTTAACTTTACATCTTCAACCCCAATTTCTCCCCTGAAGTTGAGACTCATAACTAACTACTTATATACCATCTGTGGTTGACTGGCTTTTAGACAGCTCAATTTTCACATGGCTGAAACCAGGCAAAACCACTCTTCCCGCAATCTTCAACACAGTAAATGGCAACTCCTTTATAATGGTTGCCCAGGCCAAAAGCATATGAAACTAGCCACAATTCCTCATTTCTCTTTCAACACTCCACTCCAGTAGCCAACCCTATCAACTCTACCTTTAAATATTTCTAGAATCTGACCCCCTTTCACCATACCGCCACTAAAATGCTAGTATAAACCACCATAATTTCTTGCTTGAACTCTTTCAATTGCTTCCTATTTTAGTTCTCTGAGTCTACTCTTGCCCCCCCCACACCCAGTTCTCTAAGCAGTAATCAGTGTGATCTTGATTCAAATATAAGTTGAATTACATCAGTACCCTGTTCAAATTTTCCATTGTATATCCATCTAACTCTAAGTCTTCACCTACAGAACCCAGTGTAGCTGACTCCCAGACACTTTTTTACTTCAGCATTTACCACTCACTCTGTCATTCACTTGGTTTCAGCCAGACTCACCTCCATGTTGATCCTTGGACACATACCATGAATGCAACTCCTCAGGCCTCTGACTTATCATACCCTCTATCTAGAAGATCTTCTCACCAGCTATCCTTGTGCCTCTCTCCCTCACTTCCTGGAAGTCTCCACTCAAGAGGCCATGACTAACCAACTTTTCTACCATAGCACGGCCCAACACACTCTCCCTTCCACATTCTATCCCTCTACTCTGTTTTTCTTCAGGATATTTATCACCACCTGACTTGTTACATATTTATGTATCGTCTGTCTCCATTAGGATGAAAATGTTAGAAAGGACTTTCTATTTTATTCACTGACTATCTCTAGTACCTAGATAATTGCCTAGAACATAGCAGGCATACTATAAATGTTTTAATGAAAGAATAAATGCATTATATTAATACTTCTCTCAAAAAATTATTTTTGACCACTTAGTCAAATACCTGATTGAGTGTGGTATGTTTGAATGTTTAAAGAAAAAATAATGAAATTTTCAAAATTTCTGGCAGCAGTTGTTTTTTTACATTGATCAAGGAGCTGCCCTCTCATAAAAAGGCACAGCAGGCGTTGAGCTGTGGCTGAGCTACCCATGGCTTACCTAGTAATTGAGCAAGACTAAACAAGAGAGTCCACTCTTTGCTATAACTGCTTTTTTTTCATTTTATTCAAGGTGTTAACTGAAATACAGAGAGCTTTCAACCTGCTTTTTCAGTCATTAAGCTAAAATGCCAATCAAGTCCAGTTCACTTCTAAAATGTGTTGGTACAATCCAGTAAGGAGGAGATGACAGGAAAAGAAAAGTCAACAACACTAAGTATAGTAATGTTCCTTTTTGTTTCATGAAACTCAAATTGTTACAAACATCAATTTTAGGAATATTTTATGTAGACATTAAAACAAAAAGGCAACAAGAAATCCAAAATAAATACACACACACACACACAAATAGGTTTGACCTGAGACTTTGAAGTAATTCAGAGAAAGATTTAATATTCTTTGACCAATAGAGATACCAAGAAACTGCACACTAAAATGAAAATAAGCAATAAAAGCAAATAGTACTCAAAATTTAAATGACATTAGTTAATAATGGAGTATGAAAATGTTATTGAATATGCTAAGTCTAATACTTTAATACTTTTCAATCATTCACCTTTCAATGCAGAGCTTTATTATATTCATAATCTTATCTTGTTGAACTCTACGCCCACACCTATGAATTCCATCAATTTCTTAGTTAAATAAAACTTTCCTGAAATCTAGGACCAGGGTCAGAGATAGAGTTAAAATCACCCACTATCAGGCGAAATGGAGGAAGTATTTCCACTGAAAGGCTGATGATTCCCAGATTCTCTAATATAAACCACTTAATAATCTATACTGACATTTCAAATCTTAGGAAAGGGAATGTTGTACAACCGTGGACTTCCTTGTGTTTTTTCCCTATGAGGCACAGAGCAAGATAAGAAACAAGCCCCTCAAGCTAAAAGAGGAACACAGAAACATATATGTATATATCACAGAAACATATATATATGTCCCAAATTTGTTCCCAAATTTTTCTTAAAAAGCACCCCAGTTCAGGTACCTTGAATAAAGAAAATTAGTCATAGATGAAAAAAAAGAGAAAACCTTCCAGTTGTGTACCAAGAAAAAACTGATATGAATATTATGTGCATTTCTATTTTGAAGACTAACAGTTTGTTAATTTATTAATAGAACCTGTATTTTTCTGTCAATTATTGTGCTTTCAATTGTTGTGGTTTGAATATATATAGAGAGGGAGTCCATCCCCGGCTAATGACACAAATGATTTTGGGAAGTGAATTAGGACTATTGCTCATTGATTGAAAGGGCCATACTACAAAGTGTTTGCCTTTTATTCTAATCTCTAACTGAGAAAAAACAGAATGGATAATTTGAACTTTTGAGATAAACATTCAGCCTGCATAAAACATACATCTCTATGAAGTAAACATCTTATACAGTTTCTCTCTTTAAAAACAGCTTTTGACATGCTTCCGATGTCCTTAAATATTTGTGCTACAGATGCCATAGTTGTATTTTTTCAAAGACTGGCTCAGAGGTTTCTGAAACATTAGATATCCCTTTGCTGGCAAAATATCAGAGTGAGCATTCGATCATTACAAGGTTTTTCTTAAACCAGTGTTTCTCAGATTTTACTGTGCATCAGAATACCCTGAAGAGCTTGTTAAAACCCAGAATACTGGGCCTTACCCCCAGAGCTGCTGATCCAGTTGGTCTGGGGAAAGCCTGAGAATCTGCATTTTTAACAAGTTCCCAGGTGATGCTTTGATGCTGATAGTCCAGGGACCACACTTTGAGAACCACTGCTTTAAACTGTGAGTTTATAAGTTCTTTAAAGAGCAATGTAAGCTTAGAATCCAGAACCTGCATGGTACTTACTATCAGAGCTGTGTTCCAGGGACATTCCTTGAGAAAATCATTTTTTTTTTAACTTTCTTCTTTTAGCAACAGTAATGCCCAGGCAGCTAGAGAGTCCTTCATATTCATTGCTTAGCATTTTGGTTTTGTTGGGCCTGGACTTGGGAGTATTTCCTATTTCTCATCAGAAGGGCTGCAATCTACTGTGTATCCCCAAGATGTTCTGAATCTAAACTCTCCCAGGACAGGATTTATGCCTCTGGGGGACGAAAGCCGCAGCTACATGTCTTTACCCAGTAAGTCTATCTCATCCAGGAGGAAGTCCATGTCCTCCCGGCTCACTTGAGGGCTGATCACCACCTGGCGGAAGAAGTTGACCTTTCCCCGGTGTGGCTGGTAGCCCAGCATCAAGCTTCCCTTCTTCATCATCCTCTCCTTAATGGCTGGGGCCACCTGTGTGGGGAGAAAAGGGGAGGGAGGTGAAAGACCAGAACACCAAGGCATTTCAATAGCATTTTCACCAGCCATTTGACATTTACTGGGCATCGACTGGTTTGGATCCCATTCTCATGCACACAAGGTTGACACTAGTAACAATAATAATTTATGGAGGATAGATGACATATGAGTACTGATTCAAGTGCTTTAGACATATTAATCTTCACAATAACCGTGAGGAAGATGCTACTAATAAGCCCATTTGTGGTCGAGAAAACAGGTACATGGAGACTAAATCAATATCTCAAGGTCCCAGGCATTTTCTCCCTAAGCCCATATTCTTAAGTATAAATCATTATGCAATGCTGCCTCGTTAAAAACAAATCGGGTGTCCACAGGGATTACAGTCTCATTCTCAAATTTGTCTTAACTAACAAACACCCCAGTTCAGGTATCTTGAATAAAGAAAATTAGTCCTAAATGCAAAAGAAAGAAAACCTTCCAGTTGTCTGCCAAGAAAAAACAAACATGGATATTATGTGCAGTTCTATTTTGAAGCCTAACAGTTTATTAATTTATGAATAGAACCTGTATTTTTCATTAATTATTGTGCTTTGATAATTTATGGCTGCCATTCCTAGAAAAAAATGAAAGTTAGATATTATTCTCACATATAAACACTCTCTCTTATTAAGAGATGTAAATGTGGTAATAAAATTAGGAAGCACATATTTTAAAGATCTATAGCTGACATGAGAAGTACGGGCCCTGATAATCCAGATACACAGATTTTTCTAAAAGTTTAATGTTTGAAGAAACTATACTAATTTAAGAACCACTTGGGAAAATCAGTCCATTTTCTAATCAGTAGTATGGCCACCAAAGAGCTAGGTTGTAAACTTTTAAAATAGTGAAGTTCATTTTTGATACACTGAGTTAAAATATTAAGAATGCACTTTTACTATCTTAGAAATCCAAGTGAAGTTTTTCCATTTGAATTTTTTTTAAACTTTTTTTTTGAGTATGTCCTATGCAAATATGTGGAAAGGGAATACGATGAGTGTCTATCCTTGCCGTCTCAGGAAGATGAGACTTAGTCCTCCAGAAGGGAGGACTACATAGAGAAAGAACACCAGGCAGAGTGTGGTTTTGAACTCCTTAGGTGAGGGGCATGAATCTTGGTTCCCACGAGTCTCTCTCTCATAGTGTGACAATCCCATACCACTCCAGTTTTTGAACATACCCACATTTTGTCAGTAAGTCAAATGACTTCATCTGACACTCAACACAATCTTGATCTGTTCCAAAACTGATGGAAAAATTCGGTGTTTTAGACCTCTGAAGATATTACGTGCTGAACTTTACCACAGAGCCTTCTCAAGGGATGTTCAAGGGTAATTTTAACTCAACACTTTTTTTTCATATGTGCTAATTTTAGAACATAAGTCTTGTAAAACATGGACTACACAGTGCTTACAATAACAAAACAAACATCTATTCAGCAAAATCACATTGCCATTCTAGCAAAAGATTGGAAGTTTCTTACATTATAACAAGATACGAAAGGAAAATATATGCATGTAAAAGAAAAAATGTAGAAAAGGTGATGTTAGAGGTCAAGTTAGTGAAAAAAGCATGGGCCATCAGGTTCTACAAATTTCTAAATATATGTGACACATTTTATTCTGAGCTTTCTAAAGATGAGAAAAATGTGATTAAACAACAGCCTCCATTCACTTGAAAAGAGTGACAGATGTCCAGTTGATGCTGGAAGCTGGAAGCTAGAAAGTAACTCTCTACTATGCTTACACGTATCTGCTTGAAACCCATGAATTTGTACGCATTGGTTGAGTTTTCTTCCAAATCCATTTATGCAAGTAGTAATTATAAAATCAAGTAAAATAATATGTAAGACAAAGACAGGTGAGTGCCAAGAAAAGTGATTTTTATAAAAACTAAGTTGAGTCCGTTGGAAAGACTGGATAAAGGGGGATGGCTAAACATCATTGCGATCACACTAGGTAAGAGAACTGTAAAAGCTTATGAGAATCCAGACTGATTGTGCGTTGCAATCACTACACAGGTGCCTGAGTACTTTACTTGAAGAAACCTGAGCTGCATAAGACAAGATGATTCTTGAAGAACGTGGTTTATACAAGAACCGTGGAGGGCCCTCTCGTCATCAGACCTCTACTTAAGAAAAGATTCACTTGTTTTTAAAAAGCATTTGGAAATCTTCACTAGGTGGAAAAAACCTTTCCATCAAAAGATGGTAACATAAATGTACATTGATGTACAAATATAACATTAAAAATTTAAATATAAATATACAAATATTGGAAAATGTTCACATTATGTATGCATCACATTATTTTCTAAGATTATTTGCTTTACCTGACTAATCCTTCTCACCTTAGGTAGGAGGGCTTCTCCTGTGTGTGTGGATATAAATGGGTGTGCATGCATAAGCGTGTGTGTGTGTGCCTGTGTATATGCACATGTGTATATACACACACACATATAATTTAAACCTCTGACCCACCATATTGTACTGCTCTTAAAACCTCTCTGGCCACAGGGCAATGGCGAACCATGCTTTGACTTAGGTTCATGATAAAAGTACGTTTGTTTTTAATTCAAAGAACGAGTGGCCTTCTGAATGTAAACTGTGAGAAAAAGACAACAGTACTGCCAGTGCTAAATCAAGATTAGGAAGACCTAATTTGGTCCACTACATGGACCAAATGTCTGGCCAGAAGAGCCACAGGCTATCAGTTTTAGAACTTACAGCTTGTGGTTCTGTGGTTCTTGTTTTTGAAATTAAAATGCTCTTCATATTCCTCTTCGTTGTCCTCCAGGTACCCAGGGTATAACTGGCTCTGGCTTGTAGCCAATTTTAAATTTAAAACAGGCATGCTCTTGGCTCAGACCTAATTTGCATAGTCTATTCCTGTTTACTTTTCAATACTTCTATTTTTTCTCCCAAAATGGTATTTCATGCCTTATCTTTGGAGAGTATTAGAATTTTGATTCCAGCACATAATATGTCTGAGGCTCACATGAGGCAATTATCAAAATGAATCTGTCACGTTTGTATTTCTTGTGAGGAAGCCAGAAATACTTTCTAACGTGAACAAGAGAGTTAAAGGAAGAGGGCACCTCGGATGTTTTAATATAAAGATACTTTGGATGTTTAAATTCTTGCTCTCGTGTAAAGCATATGAATGTACTTCCATGAGCAAAACACAGAGAATAAAAGCCAAACTTCTAGGACAAATTTTGTTACTGATTTTCTGAGATTATAAAGACATAACTAAATATATGACTCAGAGGACTAGCTAAGCAAGGGTTTGACAGTACAACACACTTCTATTTATGAGTCTATGACCTGTAAGATTAATTCCTAGAGGCAGTTACTAGGTAAAGACGGAAGGTCTCCCCTGTCTATGAATACTTCAAGGGAAAGAAAGTAATAAACAACATCAAAGCTGATATTCATCAATTTCTATCACAGCCTATTCTGCTGGTAGTAGTAGTAGTTGTTTTTAACACATATTTTACCAGTTCTTTACAATTTGCAATGTCTTTTCGCTGTCTGATTCCCATAAATTGAAATTAAAGCTTGCTTGAAAGGAATACATGTTTTGGTAATTTAGGGACCACGCATATTCTTACTAACAGTCTTTTTTTTTAAAGCTTTTATAAGCGTATCACCTTTGCACTTAAAAAAAAAATCAACCATTTTTTAATGTATAAAGCTCCAGTCATAATCCAATGCTAGGTAATTTGGATATTCCTTTTTGTTGATCACAGCAGAGAAACAGTCCTGATCTGACAGGATGGCATGTCACAGGGGAAGGAAAATGTGCATGAACTAAATGTCGGCATCCAGATATCACCCCTAAATGGGGTGCGCATAGAGGAAAGCAATTTGGCAGGAGTGAGATTGCTTTCCAGCTCTCAATTATTTTACTGCTGTTTTTCCTTCAAATTGTAAATCAAATTCTTTTCTTGTGCCTCAGTGCACTGGTTCCTGCATCTTAAGCGGAGGAAGATCCTGACATTTCTATTTGGAGACACAGTGACTTAATCTACACATTTCTATAGAATTTCTGTCTCTCCCCACCCTTAAGTTATGTTCCATCAGTGAGTTAGTCATTTAAGTAGAGTTTTGTTGTCACATCGCTATAGCACAAAATAGGATTTGATATTTTAAAGTTGCTGAAATCCAAGGAAAAATAAAATAAGATGACTTTCTTTCTGACCAAGTGGGGCAATTTGATAAAAAGCTACTGACCAGGCATCATTATTGCCTTTGATTAAAATAAAATGGTAATTTCCATAAAATGACATTTCTTTTTAAGACTGTTACATACTCAGTGTTAACAACAGTTTTTTAAAATACAAAGTGTTTTTCAGGGTCGGGTGCGGTTGCTCACGCCTGTAATCTCAGCACTTTGGGAGGCCAAGGTGGGAGGATCACTTGAGGCCAGGAATTTGAGATCAGCCTGAGCAACATGGTGAAACCCTGTCTCTACTAAAAGTACAAAAATTAGCAAGGCGTGGTGCTGCTTGTTTGTAATCCCAACTACTCGTGAGGCTGTGGCACGGGACGCAGGGGTTGCAGTGAGCCAAGATCACTCCACTGCACTCCAGCCTGGGTGACAGAGTGAGGCTCTGTCTTAAAAAAATGTAATAAAACACAAAGTGCTTTTCAAACTATCTGTGGGGAAGGATCAGTTTTATTTTTTTCAATGCATTATAGACTAGCACTTTTGTAAAATACAATAAAAATCAATTACTAGCAAAATGAAATAAAAATACAAGCCCAATTTTGTTTATTTTTAAGTTCAATAGTAAAGTTAATCTGTTAAGGTTGCTATAAAAATTTCTAAATGGAAACTGTGGATTTCCATAAATTTCTTATTGCAGACTGGTAACACAGATGGGTTGGGATTGCTGCTGTGGCTTTCTTCCAGTATAGTTTTTCTGGAACAATCACAAAAACTAATTTG